AAACACAGACCATGATCTCTCCCACTGCAAACACTCAGATCTCTGTAACTGAACTGATTCTTGACTCTGATTCTCCAATTATTTTGCCTTAAGATCTCAGCACAAGGAGCTGCTCAGGGAGCTGCAGTAGGGTGAGGTAAAAATAAGACCTCCAAAGATTTTGTTTCATTAGGAGGAACCCAAATTACAAAGGTTATTCATCATATCTCACTGACTGATACAGAAAAAAAAAAACCAAAACCCTTCATTCTGTCTTCAGATTACATGTACAAAGTAATCTGAGAGTGCTCTACTCCAAAGCACCAYGTCAGAGCACAGGACAGATTTAATTTCACCCTAAGTCACTCCTGCCTACTGAAGCTGAGCAGGAAATAAGGAATACAAAACATTTGCATCCTGTTAGACAATCCTGTACAGAGTTTAATTAAAAAGGTCAAACATCARTGTAAATCTTTCACTCCCTGCCACTAAGAAAGTAGCTACATTTCAAAACTTAGCAGTTTCTTCTCTGTCCTGATTACTGTTAACTTCTACTAACATTTGTTACACTCCTTTGATGCTCACGAACGGACTGCAGGATCGGGGATTGGTTCGCTACAGCACAGTGCTATCACATTTCTGTAACACACCATTTCCTACTGATAGATTACAGTGTTTAACAAAAAACGCATTCAGGATCTACATGGGAAGTTACTCAAGGTCACCCAGCAAACAAGCAGARGAGACAGAGAAGGTGATGTTTATTCTGAGGCCCAGCAGAATGGGCTTGCCTCAAAGCCACAYTGCTCTCCCTGCTGAGAGCTGAGGRGTGATCTCAGGTGAAAGATCAGCAGTGACACGGAGGGAAYTGAAAAGGTACAGGTGTCCAAATGCATTGCCTAYACTGAATGCTGAAAGCTGTAATGTTCATGTTAAAATCTTCCTGCTGAASAGTCATCCAAAGAAATGAATACCTTCATTTTTGCAGACTTCAGAATAATTTTATATATTTACCTCGTGGGTTCTTCTGGAATTCATAAATCACACTTAATGAGAAGTATTAGCACACACTTACTGCAATTACATGATGAATGTTTGATTTCTGGCTTACAGCCTGAAAAATACATAGATTTCTGTGATCTCTAGAAAGGTAAAGATGAAACCTCATGTTTTAATTAGGGGCTAATAGCTTTAGTTCACTTCAATGCAAAGGCCTTTGGTTTTTTAAAAGCTTTCCAACCCAGCTGAAAGTCTGCTACTCAATTAGTGTGGAGTTATACATCAGCTGATCAAGCAATGACTGCCTAAGCTATTGCTTTCTCTGTAAGAGCTTTTAGTTGGGGAAAAAAATGCATTACTTTCACATCCTTGGGCTRCACCAGTGCTGCCAAACTGCTGATGAAGACTGAACTCAGCAGGTCCTACCCCTGCAGCTACAYAGGATCAAACCCCTGAGTCTGTGTCACCAGTGAGGATTTGACTCATCCTSCACACTGTGCACAAGACCATCCAAGCAGGTATGCCATGAGACTATTGTGTAAAATCAATTTACTTAATTAATTTGAATAYGACAATCCCCTTCCAACTATCTTTCAATGAGTTTTGTAACCCTGATTTCCTATAAACCAACCAAAGTGAAAAAAGACATGCTCATCTCCACTRGGTTGCAATCATCAGAGGGGTGTCATCTGAAAGAAATGTGGACACACGCAGGGTCTCAATAGCTTTATGTCATGTGTGCTAAACAGAACTGTGCCTCTAAAGAGCAGCTATCCTTGCCCAGCCAGCCCTCTGAAGCACAAGGTTTCCTCCCTACAGAGGTGTTAGTGGGAGCAGGTGAGGGCAGCCATTCCCCCCCACTGGTGGCCCACATGCTGAAGCACATAAGGCAGGAGCTCTAAATTGTGACCTGTGAGAGGGGCAGGAGCTGTGCCAGGGCACAGYAGCTCCAGAGGACAGTACCACACAGCACACTGCTGGAACCTCTGAAAGGATACGGTGAGAAACAGTCACACTGATACTATCACACCCCACTGTCACTGTTACCCAGCTCCCACAGCCCCCCAGCACCACAGGGTGCTGTCCTCACCCTCTCACACCAAAGCAGCTGATGGGGAAGCTGTGTAGTGTCTAAAGCCATCCAGCAAACTGCTACAGGAGAGCATTCAGCCTCCTGAAACAAACCTACTGAGGCAGCAAAGCACCGGCCCAGCCTGACGTGCTCAGAGCCAGCAGGCAGGGCAGGGCAGCAGCAGCCTGCGGGGGAACCCAGCCCACGGCTGCCCTGGGAGGAAAGACACGCGTGTGTGCCCCTGCACAGAGGGTGGCACAGCACCCCCTCTGCCAGCAGCCCTTTGGAGGCCTCTCGGACAGAGGAGACTGTCTCCTTTGGGAATGCCCTTCCCAGCAAAGCCCTCTGCAGGTGCGGGTGTACAGCCCTGCACGGAGAGAGGCTGTCCTTGGCATAACTGCTAASCCCTGTTACTTTTCATATTCGAGTAAGAGGTGAGAAATGATGTGACAAATACAATGTGAACAAGCTGAGCCAAGATCCGCCCTTTTTTGTGGGACACAAAGAAATGCAGCCCTACAAGTAACAAATTCCTCACTCRCTTGCCAGTTCCACTGTGGACAGTCTGCTTTTGCAAACTGGCTGCTGCTCAGCTCACAAAATCCACTTGTCCTTCAGTAATCAAGAAGTAAACTGCCCTCCTCTGCCTGATTCTGTATTTTCTCACTATAATTAAATCTGACATGCAGCTGCAGTAAATATTTGTGCTGTCACAGCTCACATATGATAATCACCAAAGAGCCAATTTCAGCAGGGAATGCATATAAATTCTAGTCTGGTCTGTAGCTGGGCTGATATTTTTAGTCAATACAAATTCATTAAAGCCAGGAATTTGACAGAGTAAGAGCAAAAAAAGAGCATAACCTTAATTTTCATGGAAAAAGGTAACTCACTGTGTTACCCAGATACTGAGGCGGCCACGAGAGGCTGAGTATAGAAATAATCTAATTGCCACTAGATGGCACATCTCAATTACTAATCTGTATTTGAATTCAGGATTGCCTTTTAAAAAAGCATATCCATTTCCCTGTCCTTGCTAACATAACACTTTGTGTTGCTTTCTATTTTGAAATCAGAAAGCTTAAAAAAAMCTACATAAAAAAAGAATTTTAAACTAAAAATACACCATCTGCCAGTGAAAAACTAGCTCGATTCTGTCACATCTACAACCAAACCAGGTTAATAACCAGCATCACAGATGGTTTCTTTATATAAATATGTACATCTCCCCATAGTGACTCTTTCAGCTGCTTCCCAAAACTGCTGGCATTGCCTTACCTCGTTTCCTAGGCAATGGCTGTGCCTCACACTCAGCCTGGACATTATGCAGCTGGAATGGATTTCAGAAGATGCCATCCCCTGCCTGTGGCTGTTTCCAACACCAACAAGGGATGCAGTGGTGGACAGCATGCCTCTACCAAAGAACAGCAACAGATGGATATTAAACATTCTCATGCAGCTGCTCTTTTCCCTCAGATGATCAAATCTGCTGAAGGGTGCCTTTAACTTGCCCAAATCCCCACATAAGGCTACAGACCAAATATCATGGTGACCTTGATATGACAGCATAGAGCTGCAGTCAGAGCACCAAAGGTACAATTTGGTCTTCCAGCAGCATTCAGCAATATAAACTGTCATAAACCACTGAAACATAAACAACAAAACCTTTGTGGGGGYCATGCTCATTCTCCCTCAATAGCTGAGTATCAGGGGGCCCACCATCAGGAGTGATAATTTCCTAATTCTCTTATGTCCAAACTCACRTGAGGTGAACCCTTGAGCTCATTTCTGTTCTTCCATTGCCAGCAGTGAAATGTTTCAGAGCAGTCTGCAAACCTATTGCTACCACTTTCAGAACAGGTACCTGCCACCTTCCAAGGAGCTCCAAGAGCATCAAACCTGTYAAATAAAGATACAGAGAACAAATAGAATTCATTTCTTCTTGTTCTACTTTAGTCACCTGAAAACCTCCAGATGTTAAATTTATTGTAATGACTTAAGAGCATGCTCCTCTCTGGCAGGAGCTCAGCAAGATTGGGGTTTGACATAAGCTAGATGGATCTGTACAGAACTCTGAACTACTTGAAACCCATTTTTGATGACATTCAYATGACACATGCCCCTTCTATGTCAAAATGCAGGCTAAAAGATTGTAGTTCTTACTGGTTTGTAATTTCTAAGGGTATAATAAAAAGCATTTCAAAGAATACTCTTAAGAAACACAGTATCACAGGAGAGCACAGGATGAGAGTAACATGATCTAAACTCCATCCACATATATTACACTGATAAAAGTGATAAAATCAATTCACTACTCACGTTTGGGCCCAAATTTATGAATACCTGTAAAATGGGGGTCATGATATTGATGTCTGAAACCACTCTGAAACTTGTAATGGTCTGTTTAAATACTAAATACTATTATAGATGAACTGGAAGCCCCATTTTTCCTGTGGCCTGCTTTACAATCAGATGTCAGCTCTCTTCATTCTGAGCATAGGATGGTAACTCCATCCCAACAGGATCATTCAATCATCTGCCACTGCTAGCACTGTGTTATTTTGGAAAGAYTGAATTTCTCAAATAACCAGAAAACTGCAAATAGAAAAACTGCATTCATAAAAAAATATTATTCTAAAATGGATATAGAGAGTTTTTAAAATATTAAAGTTGCAGTGTGTGTAATCTCACAATGAAACTGAAACTTCACKSATTTCAGGCTTGGCATTATGAAACTCTGACAACGTTAGGAGTGACCACTTACCATTCAYTTCCTTGTCCTTTTCACATGAAAAAGTGTTACCAAATGCTGAGAACAATCACTGCCCTGCACTCCTCTGAACTGATCAAAGGCAAATGGTACCTGCAGAAGTAAATTAATCAATTGTATACAACAACTTCTGAGTTTAAAGCTTTATCATTTAAACCTTAACTTTCAGAAACCCCATAATACACACAGAGAAAAATCTTTATTTTAGGCAAAAAATTSACTTGTCAGAGCAGTTTCACTTGTCTTTACATAAAAAAAGAAGGCGCACCKGCACATTTTTCTACCTACAGACTTTTCTTACTAGTGCCTTGAAACCAAATGTGAACAACTGGCTGGGACATTCAGCATCATGGCATTTGGTGCTTACAGTAATAGCAGCAGCTGGTACATTACCCCACCAGCACCACCACTGCTGCCAACTGCTGGGTGCCCAGTACAGCCCTGGCTGAGTTTTTAAAGAGGTCATTTAATTTAAAGCAACCCACAGATCTTATGATGCTTCTTATGATGCTTCTTATGATGCTTCTTATGATGCTTCTTATGAATATTTTAATAAAAGCAGAAGACCAGCTGTTCAGACTCAGTCAAGAAACCAATGCTGAAATGGCAACCCTAATCATGGAGCCAATATAAAACTAGCAGATCCAGCTCCCCATTATTTTTTAAAAGTATTCTTRCCACATCTTCCCATTCTAGGGCACCAGGAACTTAGTGAAAATTGAATTGAAATTGTTCACAGTTTGTTTTCCTGTTGCTTGAAATCTTGTTTAGGTATTTGCTTCACTTGTTACATAGAAAAAAGATTACTCAAGGATTATAATAAAAATGTGACAAACAATAAAGTAAGGATAGCGTCCTTTGCATTCACAGTAATGTACTTTCTTATAAAACTTGCCTTTGCAGGGCTGAAACAGACAATAGGTAAAATTCTTCCAAGTGCCCTAGCTACTTTGGCACTTTACAYGTCATTCATGGGGGAGAAAAACTTAAAGCACTTACACCAACAGAATTAGGTTTCCCAAATAAAACAAAATTATTTAGAAAATTTTCACAAGYGACACATTAGCCTAAGAGCAGCATAATTCCCTTCAACAATCTGAAATAGTCCTAGCACAGAGCAATCCAAAATTACATAGGAAGTCAGTGTCATGATAATGCAGTAATCTAATACTATCCTTACAAATCTACACAAATCAAAAATAAAAAAAAAAGCCCAAACCCCAACACCCAAAAATACTTAATTGGCCTATATTTATAATTAGCACTGATAATTAGTAATTGTTGTGCTGAGGATTCACATCTGTCAGAGTAAAATTCATTCAACGTAAAAAGCCTGCTCTGTAGAGGATCATTCTCCATACTCTATCTGTGCTCTTAGCTCCTTGGAGAGGTAATTGATCAGCACTCCTGTCAGCTTCTGCTGGAGACCAGCGTTTCCCATTACAAGAGCAGTCAGCTGAGCAACATCAGTCCAGTCTAAGTGCCTGATAATATCCACGGTTTCATCATAGAGTTTCTGCTGCTCAATGGGAGGCAATTCCAGTAAAATCTGAGGGACTGGCTTGAATTGTCCAGAAGTCATCCAGGCACCAAGCAATCCACCAAATGCTCCTCCTAGRAAAGACAGAGTTATTAGTCTTTACCAGTTAATGTTAAAGCCTGAAATTCTATCCACAGCCTTCATCAATGCTGTTCCTACCTTGATTAGAAATCAACACACCTTTGTATATGTGTCTACTTTAACTAGATTTATATACAATATTCAAAGCACCAAAAAGGATTTTAAAAGCTCTTTAAATCCACAGCAATCACAAAGAAACCCTTTACACAAGTAACACAGAAAGCTTCAAGCTAGAAACCAAAACCAAAACACTCCCTGGGACACACTCTTTAGGATAAGCTCTAATAGCAAACAAAACCTTGCCCAAGGAGAACGCCAGACCAACAACTACCTTATCAGYGTGGAACACAGAATCTCTTACTAGATACTCCCAGACTGATCAAAGCTTTCTGCTTTTCTAAGAGTCACATGCTGCAGCCTCCTACACCCATGAAGTCCATCCCTGCAGGTGCTCAGAGGCCAAACCCATTGGACACATTCAGGCTTTCATCTGCCAAATCCACACCCACCCAGCCCAGCTAGACAAGCCATGCTTGGGTAAGGAGAGGGTCCCTGGTTATCAATGTAACAACAGAGGGATGGATCCTCTAGAGCTGATGTGACTGTGGCTGCTGAGAAGCCAGCTTAGCAGCCCTGCAGGGCTCTCCTCCATCACCAGTCTGACTGCAGCACAGCAATTCACAGGACTGACGGCCCTGCCCAGATCACACACATCCTAGCAGAAAGAAAGAAGGAAGGAAGGAAAGAAAGAAGGAAGGAGAAACCCTCACAATGGAGAGCTGTCAGAACTGATCCTGCCTCCAAAACTGCCACCTGCAGTGACTGCTCCTGAAAAGTCATTTATGCAYTCACAAAGATGCAGTTTTTCATTAGACAAAAAATTTCTTAATTTGCAGCTTTTACTCAGTTAGCAATTTTCCCCATGATACCACAGAAATACGTGAAAGCCTACAATGGCTGAATTCATCTTCAAGGGACTTTTATGAGAACATCAATATCTGATTTAGGGGCACTTAATGCAAAACCACTAGAAGTATTGATGTCTAAGCTCCTGATCCATTGAGACAAGATTTGTTATATGATCACACTTCTTCCCCCAAGCAACACACSCACTCTTCTCAGAGCAGGCAGTCCTTGGGAAGCATGATGACTGCAAGCTTCTCCAGCAATGCTGCACATGGAAGGCAACTGAACCTCTCATTCTTGGTGCAAAGCAGCAAGAGASACAATCCCTGCCACCCAGTCCTACACCTATCCAGGCTCTCTGTGCAAGTGAAAGTGCACYTGATTGTAAATGTCTCTCTAACTATCCTAAACCTATTTGGCTTACTTACCTCTGCAATTTTAGAAGTTAAATGAGGGGGTTATGATTTAGTTGCATTGTAATTGAGGCATGGCTTTTAGTTTAGTCAGTACTTATTACTCTTATTATATATGCTTATTATTGTGTACTTTTGGTATCCAGTAATTGGTATACTTGTTTCAGTGTCTTCCTCAGTGGCTGAAGAACATCAAGCTTGACTGGAAGACACTTTAAAGAGAAAACACATCCAAGAATAACTTTGCTGTTTTTCATAATCTCACTCAAGAGGGAGGCCACTTACATTACCTTTATTTCTGATTTTAAGTTTACACATTTTTTACAATAGCTTAATTTCCCTTCTTTGATGACTTCAGTCAACTATTTGTCAAAATACTGTTCTGGCTATTAATATACTTGAAATAGGACTAATTACACAGCTTCACTTTGCATTTTCTGTTATCACTCCGCACAAATTATTTGTTTATTTTTGTAACTGAACCTCAGGCAGGCACACTGCAATTCAGTCCAGTAACAATAAGCCYGTGAAATTGCTGGAACTGCTCACAGGAGTAAGGAACATTTAGGGGCCAGGGCCCACATAACTTCAGGGACAAGGCAGCTTTCAAGCTAGAAAACTCCTAATTCCAGAGTTACAGAGGAGAAACAACTCTTTACTATTACACTTTCCTGTAACTTTCTGTAACAAGAAGAAAAGGAAAGTGACAGGTAACAGTTAATCCCAGAAGAAAAAAAAAAAGTTCATCAAGATGTGGCTAACAGAACTTTAAAATACGCATCATTTTTAGYAAGATCATTTGGAAGATGATCGTGTCCCAGGCTAATGCTGTCCAAGAACACTTACTCACCCTCACCCTACACCCCTGCCTCACCCCTCTCCTCTTCACTCCCCACTGCAGCAGGAAATCTCAACACTGAACASCCCCTTCCTTCAACCCACAGCTCCTAGAGAGACTTCCTCGGGGATTTAACCACCCTATTGTTCCTACAGCAGAGCACACTTACCTACAGCAATTCCAGGCGGGCCTCCCATGAGCCCCCCCAGAAAAGCTGTGGCACCAGCCAGCAGTGCTCCCCGACCAGAATGCTTGACAGCAGCTTTCATGCCCCTCGCCTCGGAGACATGGCAGAGCAGCTGCATCACATCATCAATAGGGATGGGCATCTTGGCAAGTCCAGATCCTGGAAAAGACGTTTTAGGTTATCTTTTGATCACTGCAACAGAGACCAAACCTAGCTGCTAAATGAATTTTTGGGGAAAAATCCCCTCAGTGTTCAAGGACAGACACAGGAAACAGTAACTCCTTTCTCTTTCACTTTGGGAAAACCACAGTACTAGCCAATTGCACAAGGTTACTGACACTGCAAATGTGACCTCAGAGTAGACCAGAAAAAAAACCAAAAACCAAACCAGTTTATGACAAATTCAGAGATTCTACAGTACACTGTACATCTAATTCTTCAGTACATTGCTTTTGGCCTAAGGAATTCCCATGTGCATTCAGCATCACACACAACCCTGGGAAAAAGAGCTTCACTCTGCCACAACAGATTAAAACTGACAAATCTGTCAGGTATCTTCTCATTGACTAATTTTTACCACCAGTCAACTATTTTCACATATCAGTTCTTCTCCCTGTTTTGTTACATGCTTAAACACTTCCATGCTGATTTCTGAAAACAGGAGGCTGTCTCTAGCAACCAAGAAGAGCCTAAGGAAAGACTGGAGGAGAGAGCTGGTACTGGGACTAAATGGGRTGCTCTGGAATCAGGCCATCAGAAATGCAGGGGTGAATGAGTAAGGCAGTTGGGACTCAGAGCAGGGATGTCAGATGAGTCTCATGTAGGTGCAAGCAGAGACACAGGAACCTCAGCCTGTGACATGCTGTCACATGTCCTCAGCAAGGGACAGAGACCTGTCCCTAAGAACAATCCCTCTGAGATCAAAACTTCTCCACCTCATTCACTTGCTGCTGCTACTCATTAAGCAAAATAGTTCCCACTGTGCACACCAACTGAGGAAAGGGCTTCCAGGGATAATTAAAAAAAAGTATTCAATAGGATGAAAAAAAAAATCACATATACACAAGTTGCAGATTTTTTGTTGTACATGTAATATCAGTGCTACAGAGCAGATGAGCATTTGGTTTTCAGGCCCTAGATGACCTCTTATCCCAGTGTGCATGCAATATTTTCTCAACCCAAGCCAGCCTGTCTTCMAGTCTTTCTTGAACAGATCTCCTCAGTGTAAAGTGGAAGTGGAGTGGTATCACACCATTTTTCATATTAAAAATTAATACTACGATAGGGAAAGCTTTCCTTTGCACTAAAATGGCTGACTGCAAATCATCCATGTCACTGCAGGATCCAAGCACTGCTGACACTGAACAAAAGTCTGGGTTTTGGGAAGGGACCACATATGCTCCAAAGCTGCAAAGAGGCACAGTAGGAAATTAATCAAATAGCTGACTTCTCTCACTACTTCATTCATCTTTGTGCCAGTCTAAAGAAAACATCCAAGTTCATCATTTTACCACTGTTGCTTTTGGGTTTTTGGCAGGCTGATGACACAGCAGTGGCTCAGAATGGCAGTGCATGCTGGTTAGCGACAGCAGAGMGACATGTTCCGCTTCCAGAGTCACACTTTATCTCATTCAATAGGATTCAAGCTCCAAGCATGAACAAATGGCTGCTCAGTCTGTCCTAGAGCAGTAGGGAAAAACTCCCCAAAAAATACAACTGGTACAGCTCTGCCAGTCTCTGCCAATGATGGAAAGTGAGACAATTGTTTTTACCTTTCTACCAAAAGGTGAGCAACTTTCCATTCAAAGTGACATTCACAMCAGCCCCAAGCAGTCTAAAGTGCTGCAGGATTCATTCCCTCCTCACAGACACTGATTTGTGCTTGTCCTTCACCTCCTTAGCATGTCCTCAGACTAACCCAAAATGCTGAAACCAATTTGCATCTCCTCTCTGAGCTGAATTCAGTGAACGTCTCCCATGAAGCGCTCCAGTATGAAGGCTCTGCAACACGGGTGGGACAACACAAGCTGGAAAGCTGACAACACATGGCGCTCCCTGATAGTAACATAAGTAGCTTCCCTCCCTCAAATTGAGGGAGTTCTACAGTGCCATAAACCAATCTAACTGTAACAGATGTGAAATGATATTTTCTGAGCAGACACACCCACAGCTGAAGCACCAGGCTCCTGCAGTGGGTAGAAGCTGGCTGCCCAAGGTCACCTGCATTAGTCCATCCTCCAACATGGCCAGGACTGGGACGTGTCCTCATTGTGACGTGGCACTGCAAGCAGGGCAAAGGTGACCGGCTACCCTGGGCTTCTCTGGATAAAGAAAACATTCTTTCATGACTGGCTTCAAAGTGCAGCTGACTTAAGAGTTGAAAAAAAGATAAGACCATAATGAAAATAGAAATCACACTGCTATCTGGTGGTGTACGAATTTGAGGCACACAAATTTGTAACTCCTTATTAATCAGCCTCAAGGTAGAAACATACTGGAACTCAAGAAACTGTAATAGTTTTTCCTTAGTAAATTATTTATTGTTTCACTCCCCTCATAACTTCCCCAAGGGCAATTTCCAGTCACAAAATTAACATTTTCTGGGGATTTTTTGGCTTGTCTGAGGAAGTCATASCACAGCCGTTCCTGCTTAACTCTGGGTGTGAGTGTCACACTCAAAACTCTCAAAGACTTTACAAGAAGCACTCAGTTCTCTCAACTCTTAGAAGTATTTTTTATGATCTCCTATCATATTCTCTATATTTTAAGTCCTGCAGTGAACATTAGTGAACACAGTACCTGATGCACAGCWCATACATGTTGTGTTTTTTTAAACTGTACATACACAGCACTAGTGGGAGCCAGTGAAACATAACCATGTCTTAACAAATGTAAAGTAATCCCAGATTCCTACATTCAGCACATAGAATTATGAATTACTTGGAAAAATTCATGTTCCAAGGAAGAATCAAGATGATCAGGCAGTTTTCAGTAAAAAGATATTTTTTCAGCCATACACCACAGCAAGATATTTTGGCAATACTCGAAAGAGTTGGAGCATAGACACTCCACAAAAGAGTTAACCTGCTATTAGGATAAGCACCCAGCTAAATAACTGTKAGCAGGCAGTCAGCTGGCTGAGGAAATCAAACAAAAGGCTTATAAAGCTCTGCAGCTGCAAACCTCTAACAGCTCACAGACTGGTAAGGTCTGTAAGAAGCCAACTGCAAGAATGTGGAGCACAAAGTTGCACCTGACATCAACCTACTGATCAGAATCACAGGGCAAGCAGAACAGGAGGRTAGACATTGCAAAATGCCAGTGGTGCTACAAGGGAGCAAGAATCCTACCCCAGAATAGCACAGGAGCTGAAAGCTTTCTGTGTTAGAGGTAGAACCACATGATAGCCAAAAGCATTTATACACTCTGATTGTGTAACTGACAAGTAACTTAAAATACAATTTGATTCTAGCACCAAATGATTCCCTACTGAATTCACACAGGCATTAGGAAACACCATGATTGTAGAATACTGGATTTGGTCTAATGAAGGGATAGAAATGTCAACATCCATAAAATTGTGCACCAGTCCAGAGGTGTCGAGTCCCCACAGCTCCTACTGACTTCACATGGTACTGAGAATCTTCAGCACCTCAAGAAAAAAAAAAACCAAAACAAAACCCAAGACTTCTGGAACATGAAATCACTGACAAACCAAACTTTACTGGGCAACTTTTTGYTGTACTGCAAGTCGGTGGCTGCTTTCCTTGTGTAGTTGAAGTCTCTTCAAAGTCTTAGATTCTGTACCGCAGTTGATGGCTCCTCTCACTTTCACCCCAGGGACAGAGGAACAAAGTGAGCAATGCTCCTGCTCTCCGTATCCAAAGGGAATTGGTAAGATCATGCTACAACATCTCAACTTTGAACCTAAAACCAGCAGGTTTTGTTAAGAAGAAAAATGCCATAGAAAGAACTAAAACAACATCATACCCAACCCACTGAGAGCCCTGTCACTGCAAATAACTGAAGAGGGTCCCCAGATAACTCCATGGCATGAACCGCCTTTCAGCTCTCTCCAATTTAACAATCCCACCTCATTACCCTCCTTCTCCCTTCACCAAATGATSACTTTGGACAAGCAAAAGCCCTTCAACACCTGGCCTCACTATCCCACTTGTAGAAAAATGTCCACATAGGAGATATGCTCAACAGCATACAGCCAGGCCCACCACCAAGCTGTCCTCACAGCTGACCACCGAGGTAACTGAGTAAACATCTCTGCCATGTGCATATATCTAGCACAAAAAAACACCAACATAACACATTCCAAAGCCACCAGGCAGTGAAGATACAGAGCTAAGACCTCTTACCTGGAGCTGTCTTTATCATGGTGGACACCATGTGATAAGCAAGAATGTGAGGAGACAACCTTCACACAAGTGCTAGAAGGCATACAAGTGATCTGGGTAGATCTTCAAACTGAAACTTCAAGACCTCGGCAAACATTTATGCAAGCACAAATCCCAAGACAATTTTTTCTGTCTCAATTGCACAGCAACTGCTCTGAATGAACTGCAACCTTTTGTAAGAAATATGAGAACAGCACTGGASCAAAACCAAACACAGGATAGTTAGCAACTGAGACAGACTAAAGAACATGACTTCACAAACAACACTGTGCAAGATGTCACCTGATGATTAAACAGGTCAGAAGTCCATCAATTATTTYAATAACAGCTGGTGGACAGACAGGGACTCAAGATATTCCCATCTGCAAAGGARGACTATCTCATCACTGGTCCATACACATCCTGTAAGCATGAGTAGCATCTGTGCTCCTAAATCATAACTTTCTGAAAATCTTACCTTTAGAACCTGGTCTAGTATCTGAAATCTGCAAAMCAGGTGGTCTGTCTGATATAAATCGTGACTGGCTTCAGTTCAGCAGTCAATAAATATACCAGTTTTGAACCTACTCTGCATCTGTAATTTTCATTTATTTTGCTAAGAAAGGGTTTACTCCTACTTGGTGGCGTAAAGATTAAAATATGCTTACTGCCATTCTCTACATTTCGTACTCTTCTTTCCGAACCATGAGGACTTGTTGTATCTACAAATATTTACTATAATAATGTGTTACTGACTATATGTTTAWTCAGATTTGTTTTAGTTTCAATTATATTAGGAGAAGGTAAGAAACTCTTGCATTTGCTAGGCAATCTGAACTCAATTAAATGTATAAAAGAGCATTTTAATATTGTTTTGTAAGAACTGAGACCTTAAGAGCATTGCTCTTCTTCTGTGTATTTATCAAAGCATGTAATATAATCAAAGCATTTAATTGGTTTATTTAACACAAGAGGCAACAAGTTCACTCATATGAGCAAACTACTTCTGGAACCTAGAAGCTGATTTTACAAGGCTCTTGGATGCCTAAAAATGCAGGTAAATATTGAATGGGAATGATCTCATTYCACTGAGATAAAAGGAAATTTGGCACCTGATCTGTCTAGGCACTTAGGATACCCCGCATACCTGGTCTTCTAGATTACAAAGTATCTATGAAACACTGGCCATAACTCCTCCTGCCCTTGAATTTTTACAGGCCTACTCATTGTCCTTCTAATTATAAACTACAGATGATTTTTTTTTCCCCATTCCCTATCCAGTTTCTCCATTTTGAAAGCCACATTCAACAAACTTAGAGGTCGCTTTCATCAGGTAGCTGATACTGAAGCCAATAATCAGACTTCCAGTTAAGAAAAAGAAAAGAGATGACACTCAGAAATGCAAACAGCAGAGCTGTTCCCCTGTAGAGGTACTTGGTACAGCACACTGCAGTGCTATCTTCAAAATCTGAACTATGCCTGAAAATTAAAGATGTTTTCCCTGACTCACTGCAAAAACATAAAACTTCATCTCATTAAAATTAATCAACATGTTCTGAATGTCTCAAAATTTATTAAAAATGTTATGACTAAAATAGGCTGAGCATAAAATGTAATTATAAATCCTTTCAAATACCCGAAATTTAATTACACTATAGCTATTTCTTTATTTATTTTCCTGCCAATTTCAGGTTTACTCTTTCTGAAGTACTGCTCCAGCCGCAATGTGACTTGGGGAAAAGAGAAATTAGATGCTCAGTTCAAAACCCACCTGGGCGCGTTCCTGTGTTACCCRCTCGGGGTGACCCTGCCTGGGCAGGAGGGCTGGGCTGGGTGATGTACAGAGCTCCCTTCCCACCCTAACCACTCCAGGGTTATGTGCAGCTAAAGGGAATCCAGCGGGACTGAAGGTCTTTAGGACCATTAGCGCCGCACCCGAACGATGTCCCCAGGCCCAGGGCCGGCCGCAGCGGCTGGGGCGGCTCCCCCGGCCCGCCGGGCTCGGCAGCAGCACACACAAACCCCGCGGGCCGATAGCGCTGCCCGAGGAGCGGAGCGG